CAATAATTCACGAAATATTATACATACATTTCTCTGGCACATAATTGACATGACACATTAAATATCTCGTAAACCATTAATTTTTTGATAATCGTAATATGTTAATACTTTTATGAATAGAATAATGAGATAAATCAGGTGTAAAGATACCATATACTTGTTTGTTTAACAGAATTATTCATTGTGCCTACGTATTTTTTGATCAAACTTTCGAAAATGGGCAACTTTTCGCAAATTTCAATAATCCTGACATGTACTTTCAAATAATATTGATGATATTAAAGTATATTTAATACTTCGTTTCTTCTCAAAATATAGTAAAGCAGACAAGTTCTCTGTTTTAAAACACATATTCTCTCCTTTGAAACACATATTCTGCTTTCAAAACGAAATTAATATAAGAAAAAAGTAGCCAAGTTAGAATATCATAAAGCAGGGGAAAGATCGGTCCTTTAAGAAGGAAGTGGATTTTAAAGTCATTTGTATTACCGAGACACATATAATTTTTGTATATAACAATTACCTTTTTTTCTGTTACTTATTCGAAAATCCTTTCCTAGGATTAAACAATTGGCATTAATACGTGTCTGCGAAGTAGAGTCTTAATGCTAAGAACGACAAAAAATTTCGAAATTAAAATATTCTTTAGTCCATTTCTTAGTCCAATATGGTGCTCCAGAGCTTACGTCGTAACAATATTTGCTTCATATAAAAGCTGTGCAATCTGTATTTATGAAATAGTAATTCACAGAATAGTCGTTTGCATGAAAAACCAAAGTGGATTTCTTAAAATTGGGCTTAGACGTCCAATTAGAACGTTATTGTTATACGAAAATTTACTAGTGCCAACATGTGCGTGAGATAATGATGTAGTAGAATGTAGTGATGGAAATGACACATTAATCTTCGGTGTGCAAGTCGATGTACAACAAGACTATTCGTCTTTACGATCCCCTTAAAATTATACGGTGGAAAAAAATTTAAATTTGAATAGGTATTATAGTTGATTAAATGTAGAAGCAGAGAATTAAGGATGTTTTATACATATCTTCAAAGTAAAAACGAAATTGTGAAAAAATTACAGATTATTACCATAAATCACGTTTAAAAATAATACTACAGAAGTGATCGTTTACTATCTGGATCATAAGATATTTTGTTAAATAGTAGTATTTTTTTAATCGCTGTTCTAATGAAAATATATATGAAAATGCAATATATGGAATGAATGATAAAAATCTCAATTTCTTAATAAAAGTGCATTATGTATTCTGGATTATTTATGTTGAGTTACATTACGATGCATGAACTAGTCGTCCATTAAATAAACAAAATATTTATTTGTTCTATATCTTTGTAACAATAATCAGTGAATCTCAATAAAACTTCGCATATATTATTTTATGTGAATATTTAAAGTACTTATACAAGAGAAATGTAAACTTTTTTAAGAGAGAGAGATTTAAAAAATTTTAATTTTTCAACTAATAATAATAACCATTAAAATAAATAATCTACATGAATATGTGATTAAACAAAAAAAATCTTATTCACATAACTTTCAGATGTATATAGTTTATTTGAAATGGAAATATGAAACATATTTCCAAATTTAATTTTCTTTGCAGGTCTAATACATCCTTAAATTGTACAGTAACATCTTTTAGATACTTCTCCTCCTAAAAAAAAACAATGTAACAAAATATGATCAAAAAGTATTAAAAGCATCATGTCATCGAAATCGTTTCACTTTTATCTGATATACACTTTTCCTTATCGTTTTGACATATTTTGATGCAACAGTTGAAATGAGACATCTTATATATATATACTCGTATATTCATATAAGAATAATTAATTTCAATTAGGTGAAATAATTACACGTTGTGTACCGCAAGTAATAAAACATATAGTTTATATTGAATTCTACGTTAAAAATATAATTTCCTTAGTATTTCTCCTGTGTTACGTCCAAGGCTCTGCACGCATGGAACCTGTGGGAGGGAACGTAACACGAACTGAATCGCCGTATCGTCGGGGCCAAGCTCCGGACCGCAAGGGAGCTAGGGGAAGGACCGACTCAACGGGAGGCACTTCACTTCGTCCTTAGGCTCTAGGAGAGCCGGTGGTCTAAAGGGGGACGAAGTGGGAGCCTCTCTCGAGATCGACTTTCCGCTGAGCGGACCTTGAGGCGAACGCACGCGCTAAGGCGCAAACTGGATCAATGTGCCGTGAGGGCACATTTTGGCACCAGATTTGTCAGTGCGTTCGATGCCCTTATTTTCGGCTTTGGAAATGAATCCAAATAGCCGAGGATAAGAGTAAGTGCAATCGTGGTCTTGTCGTTATGAATATAAAGAGGTGTTGTTCGGAAATATAATAGTCAGAGTTTTAATTTACATTATATATTTAAAATTAAAGTTACCATTACATAGTTGGTTATCTATTTTGTAATTGGTGCGTGTGAGTGTGTGATTGATGTAGTGCGACAGAAGAGAGAATTTACGGAGAGGATAGCAAGAGAATAAAAAGGAAAGGGAGTTTTGGTGAGTGGATCTGAGAGGATTTGGTTTGATTTTCTTTGGACGATGATAGTATCAGCGGGCGGACACGTCCGACTGGTCGACAGGAGCGAACAATTATCGCGAGAGGAATAGCGACAGGGATTGAAATTAGCGTGAACAGACTGCAATGTTTCATTTCGTTTTACATGGGAACTTAAAAAGGGAATAAGAAAGAAAGAAAGAAAGAAATAAAAAGAATCAAATAAAAATAAATAAATAATAAAAAGAAACTAAGGAAATATTGAAATGAATTACTGAAAGAAAAAACGAGGGGGATTAGAGAATAGAAACATACTGACTTATTACTGAGATGCTGATCGGTGGAATTTCTCTGGGCCGGATGTGTGAGGTTGACGATGTTTCTTCAGCACTGATTCTAAATCTTTAAATGTCGCTGGCCAAGTAAGCGAAGTTAACAATTTTTCTCCCGCACTGCTTTTAAGTTCTGGGCTTTAACGGATTCAGTACAGATAAAATTCGGCAGTGATACGAACAACATCTTCTGATCTCTCGTTACAAAATAAGATTAATTTTTGTCTGAATAATAGGTTGATGTCATGGTAATATAGACATGGACTATATATTAATGCGATACATGAGAGAGTCATTATTGGAACTTTGAATTAAAAGACCCTGTTACAAATACATGTGAGTGACAATAATTTATTTTAACATCGGTTAATTGATGAATTCATTTAAAATATATTTAATTTCGGATACAATGTTTCATATATAGTTAACATGGAAATTAAGTGTACGTTACATTGCGGTGATCCATAACCAGGTGTTAAGCTGATCTAACAGCAGATAATTTGATGTATTGAAGATGACCTAAACCAAGGTCGAAACGTTTACTAATTACATGTAATTTTGATTCTTCAAATTGTAATAAAATTGCACAATCAACAACCAGTGTTGGCTTATATATAGGCATAATTTCATTTTATTTTATTTGATTTATTCGTTTGAGCCTATAAATTATTCATTATATTTTAACGGATTGATTTCGAAAAGAAATGTGTTATTTAGCGGGTTGACTCCGGGAAAAGATTCTGTCGGTCTCCGTCTGTCTGTCTCCGCCTGTCTGTCTCTGTGTTAACTTCCGAAAAAAATTCTCTCTGAGGGCCGCGGAACTGCGGTTTATATATTGGTTTTCCCTTGATTGGTTGGGTTCTAATTAGGTGGTGGGACACTTTTCTGGCTTCTGGATTGGTCGAGATTGTGGAGGAGGAAAGGATTCGGTTTAGTGTCAATGTCTTCATTTTACTATCTTCTTTAAATTATGGGAAAATGAACGAGCATCGATTAAGACGAGCGTAGACTGTCGGCACGGGCCCGTCAAACACCTCCCCTGGACGTCGCGTGTCACTTTTATATTTTATGGTTGCGGACATCGTGAGAATCGTTCGCGACTTAGCTGTCAGAAAAATGTTTAGGCGCCAGTATCGGGCTTTTACTGACGTTAGTTATCATTTTTAATAGCGTTGTCCAAGGAGGATGTCATCGACGATGCTTATTAGCTCCCTGCGTTTACCGATTTTAACTTTATTTTATGTGACGTTAATGAGGAGATACTGAAGTCTTTGCTTTTAATTTTTCGTGAGAAAGGTTTTTATTACTTTTTAACTGTCTTACGCGTTGATAACTCCAGGTCTCCGTAAAGTGAGAAAGAAAAAAAAGGGCTGCGTATGTCCGTTGGACGTAACACGTGTATGTCTCTTGGTTTGAATAATTATAACAATTACAATTTATTTACAGGCACGTCCATCTACAACTATGCCTTATATCACGCAAACTAAACAAAGTATTCAAAGTACAAATGTTAATACAGATGGTATGGTACTTTAACAAAGCTTTAATTTTCTGTCAATTAATGTATTATTTGCTTGGAGATCATCGGGGTATATGGACATTTCGTCCTGCAATCCTTTATTTAGAATACTGTTTTGAATTCGCTTTAATAACTATTTTATATCTCGCATTATACTACATATGTCAAACTGTTTATAATAAGGTATATATTATAACAGAACAAAAGCATTAATAACTATTTATAACTAGAATAATAAGCACAAGCAACAATAAAATTACACATGTCAAAGTTTTAATTGAAATCTGATTCATTGAATGCAAAGTATTCAGTTTTACTGCTAACTTTGGTAATTATTTACATTAACGGACACTGCGTCGATGACCTTGACCTTGACATATGTTGTCATCATTACCCTGAGTAACCTCCGACAGGTTTTAGGTGGCGGTCGATCTTCGTTAAAAAGTTATTAACAAAGAAAATTCTACTATAACACAAAAATTCCCTGCTTTAAAATATGTTTGATAGTCGTGCACTGTAAGGGACGCTGCGACGTGCCGACGACTGCGACTTTGATATATGTTGTCAAACAGACAATTATGGAAGTCCAGCAACTCTTTGCAGGGATGGAGGGGGGTGAAAGTCGAAGGTGTGAGTCGTGCGCCCTTTTGCAGGAGGGATGGCGGTTAAGAGTCAAAGGTGAAAGTCAAGCGCCTCTTTGCAGGGTGAAGGGAGGTGAGAGTCGGAGGTAAGAGTCGCACGCCCCTAAAGCAGGAAGGGAGGGGGGTGAGAGTCGGGAATGAGAGTCGTGTGCCCCTAAAGCAGGAATGGAGGGGGGTTAAAGTTGCTTCGTGTTGAAAGTCAAAACATATGTAGAATAGTATTTAATATTTCATATATAGCAAAAATGATACGTTATTTTTCAAACTTCTTTTGTTAATAACTTTTAAACCAATGACGATCCAAAAAATTTTTTCCTGCTTTACTCTGCATACATGGTTTTCGATACATGGTATAATTAGGATTAGGTTGTTACACACCCATTAGTATATAATAACCTAACCATAATCAAATCATGTATCGAAAACCATGTACGCAGAGTAAAGCAGGAAAAACTTTCTGTTCTAAGAACAAAAATTATACAAAAAAATATGAAAGTCGTGCGCCCCCAAGCAGGGGGGAAGGCGGAGTGGGAGTTACTTCGCGTGGAAATTTGTAAAATATACTTTAAAGCAGAAAATTTCTGTTTTATATGGTTGAAAAAGAATATTCTTCTTAAACTTTTTTTGTTAATAATTTTTTAACGAAGAACGACCGACACCTGAAACCTGTCGGAGTTTTCTCAGTGCCATGACCTTGACAACATATGTCTAGGTCAAGGTCATTGGCACGGTGTCCGTTAATGTATATAATTAACCAAACTTTCGTTTTTTGTTGACATAATTTCAGATAAATGAGACGGTAGCGATTCTTCACAAATTGTCCAATTATAACCTCGATGAGGATTTACGTGAACAGGTAAATAACTAGAACAAAATTTTATTTTAGAATTTTAACTTCTTATGCTTAATTTTACTAGCGCTCAAAATCCGGATATCTACATAAATATCATTGAATGATTGTGTACAAAATTGTGTTATTACATAACAATTGTGTTATTCTTTTATATATTTTAGAATACTTGTACATACATTGTAACGCCACAGGCAAGGTTAAGCTAGAAAAGTTTCAAAAATTATTTGTTATTTTATATAACAAAAGCGAGTTTTCAAAAGTTATTTCATACTATCAATATTCTACTATCATAGTGTATCGTACTGTCGATATTCTACTATCGTACGATCTGTATCCTACTATCACATTATAAATATTCTGAAAAATAAGCTCGATACATTTTGGCATATAGAATTGAAAATAATTTATAAGGGTTTTGTAGTTGGTGTTGATATGTACAAATATTCTAAAAATAAATATAAAAGAATATAAGTTAAATTAATAAATTCATAGTGTTTTTTATTGTATTAATTTTTAGTTATTTATTTTTTAACCATTCCTGTATATGTCGACCTTGCTTCTACTCAATACCCGGTAAAAAATTTTTCATGCATGCATATGTTTTAATATGTATAAACATACATAAACGTGCATAAATATTCATATAAACATGTATAATTGCATAAGAAATATGTTCATATACGTGTTCATACGTTTTTCTTTCTTTAGTAAAATTACTTTTTAGTGTAATAGAAATAATAATAGTAAGTGAAAACATAAAAAATAATTAAACGGATAATTTTCGTATCGTTTGTTTTAGAAAAAAAACAAGTTTGGAAAAATATTTAAAAAATTGCTCATACGTAATTATGCATAATTTTATATCAAGAGACACGGTAGTGTCTCGCGCCAAGTGGGCGCGCAGCGCGAGACACGCGTGTCTTTACGCGAGCCAGCGAGTTGCGGGCATCCGAGCATCCGAAATTCTCGGTTTTTTAAAATAAAGGCTAGACCGATCGAGTTCTGAATATGAGCTTCATCGACAGTTTGGGTCCGAATTATATAATAAACGTTTATTTTACCTCAACGTGGGACACACATTGTAATGCTTCGTGATGCTTCGTCTTTAATTTTTTGAGATTAAATGTTGTATTGCATTGCAAATATAAAAGACTCTTGAATAGAAAGATAAAGGTACGTATCATTTTGTCTCGTTAATTAAATGTTATATGTTGCAATAAAATATATGTTCTTTTCGCAATTTACAAAATATAATAGTATATGTTATATGTTGCAAGAAATTATATATTCTTTTTGCAATTGGCGTAATTTAAAGATTTGATTTCATTTTTTTTTTAAATACATGCATACGTACTATTGAGGGGTAATTTATAATAAAAAATCAACAATATATTGCCACTTGAACTATATTATTTATAAACTATAGAATCGAAGCCTTACACGGTCTAGCTGGATCTTAATGCTTGTATGATTCTTATGTGAATTTATATACTACGTATGTAGTCCCACAGAAACGCGCGCCGAAAAATTTCCGGTCTTGAAACGCTAACTCTACT